TATTCGTATTGCATTTCCATATAATGGAAATTTGTTCATAGACGATAATTTACATTGCTTTCAATTTTGACTTTCGATTCAGATATTATGCCCTAAGACAGCTTCGAATCGAGAAATTTTATGTGTACTGGCAGCAGGATATAAACGAGACTGTTACACCTCTTGAATGCGGTCGCGCTTTTCGTGTTGACTTTAATGTTAGTTTGTTCGATCGCTCGTCTTTCCGATAGTTTAATTTAAAGAAAATAATCTCAAAGTTTTGTTCGATAATTTTCGAATTGAATTCCCTTGTTGCAGGCAATTGTTTTTATGTGATCAATTTTATTTCGATGTGTTCATACTGATTTTTTTGTTGCTTTTTGCAAATTAAATCAATGGACTGAAAAGTATTTGGGGTGTTGCGAATGGAAATTTTCGGAAAATTTGCAATGTGTTGGAGAATGAATAGAATCATACACTCACAGAATTTGTCTTGTTATTGTTGTTATTATTTTTTAAAAGTTATTATGACTAGTATTATTGTAACATAGAAATGAGGTTGATTACAGAAAGATTTCATCGGTAAAGATGCTCTACTGAAGCAGAACGAAAAAGGTATATCGAAGAAGTTCGTGCAAGTACTCGTCGATAAACACGAACTTGATACTGATCCTTGGCCTCAAGGTGGTGAACTTCTCTACCGAAACGGTGAACCCATTGGACGTACCACTTCGGCTGCGTACGGATTCACTCTCGGATGTCAAGTATGTTCATTCGAATGATCTATTTCAAATGATTTTTTTATTGTTTGGAAAAGTTTAATATCCAATTTGATGATGGCCAACTGAGATGTATACTTCTTGAAGTGGTTCAGTGACCTTGTGATGCGCAATCTCACCATCGAAATACTCCTGTATGAAGTTTAATGATAGTGTTAATAATAGTAAACTTCTTCATTGTCTGTAGCATTTTGTCGAGTGAAAATAGCAAAACGATTATAATATTAGTGCTGTGTACGCTGACGCATCTTACTGCGTTGTATTCTACCGTTTTCTCATAAATTTAGATTCTCTTGAAGAGATGTTTAGGAT